CGGGACCCGGATCTTCGACACGGGGCCCTCATCGGCCCGTGCACGCCCTCGAGCTGCATCGACGCATCGCTAGCTGAGTGATTGCAAGGGGGCAGGATGTTTAGGTGAGGGGCCGTTGTGCCGCTCAGCTGTGCATAAGAGCGCATCCGCGCTGAAGAACGCACCCGCGCTGAAGAGCGCATCCGCACTCGCCCCTCTGTGCACTCTCTCTCGCTCGTCGGCCGTCGTCGATCGTCCGTTTATTTTTCTAGTTAAGTTTTAGTCTTTTGAAAGCAGCGAATAAAGCTAGAAGGTTTTGAATTCAACAACGACGCCCTCGACTTCTTTCCTTATTTCACCACTTCTGGAATCTTTTGCGGCAGCAACGCCCCCCTACAGCAACTGTATTTGTTTCCATTGCGGAAAGGGTTTACATTAAGTGGTAGATTTTAAAGTACACATCAAAACATAAGTTGAGAGGGTGTTAATGCAGTGCAAAACGAAAATGAGAATAAAAAACAAATCTAGAAGTAAGTTTACAGCGTCGGAGCTAAATTATTTTCTAGAAATCAGAAAAAGGTGGAACCGCCGAAGAATGCAATAAATGATATGTGCTTAGATAAAGTGTTATTACTTGTGGGTTTCTCTACAAAGTAGACCTGTCACATTTGGAAGAGTCTCAGGCACTAACGGTTAGGGCCTTGATAAAAAATTAGAATCCCGTCCAAAACGTCAAAGATGTGCAATTGAAGTAAGTAATTTATGCAATATGATGCACCCGCTATCACGTTGTCTACCTGGTTAAAATAAAAAGAACATATAATTTCAGTAATTTCAGGAATGGTTCGATGAGAGAATTATTAAACCAAGAAATTCAGAGTACGCATCGCCATTAGTGCTAGTTTCAAAGAGAAATGGGAAATGGGAAAGAGCAAAGAGAAAAAGCTTTGTTGTGACTATCGAAAAATAATTGAGAATATCATTCGGACAACTTTTTAATGGCTCAAATGGACGCTGTACCATACAAGCTACAGGGAGCTTAGATCTTTTATATATTATACTAGCAGTACCCTGCCACGTTTCGATGTGGCATATTGTGATTGCACGCATTAGAAATAATTCAAACAAAAAAGAATTATTTTCGTGGACTACCTATGTATGAGGATGGCAAAATCGTGAGCTTTCCAACGTTGGTTGTATTACGGTCAATCATCACAGCATCCCGCAAATGGATATATTCCTCGTACCGAAGTTTCGTCTGATTCAATCGGAGGAACAGCAAAAGTTCTGTTTCAATTTTTGCATACATATCGACAATGTACTGATGAAACAACTGACGACATTTCAATTTATGATTGTCATCGGTCCTCCGAACCATTAATCTGTATGAGTAAAAGTTCATCGCGCTGCACTTTTTATTCGTTTCTACACCATTGACTGGATCTACCATCCTCACATTGAAATGATATCCATCGGCATCGTAACAACGGTGAGTTTCTGCGACGTTTACCAATCGATCGTTTCGTCGACGGAGAACAATATCTCGAGGTTGGAACTGATCCCCGACTATGACAATTGCCACTTCGTCTATAGTTGGAGCATTATATCTCCTGATATGTTCTCCAGCAGGCGTTTTGTCTGCACGAATGACAATTTTATGGATATCCGAAGGTATCATATGGATTGCTGTTTTGAACAAACGCACCAAATGGTTCCGTTCGTGAAAAAGCTTCTGTACCTGCGAAATAATGGGCTTTTTCAGCGAGGTATTGATTCCATAACGTGCATCGACTTCAGCTCCATTATCACCAATGAAGTACATTTGAAGAAATTTTTGTTCGCCGTATGAGAACGGAAGCAGGGAACCGGCTTTGTGATAGATTTGTCCTTTGATTTTAAAAGTTGGCATGAATTGCGCAGTTATAATTTCCGCACCAAATGACGTCATTTTGAATGAAGAGTTGTATTTCCTAATGTTCGACCGGAAATGCTTCGATTCAGCAGTAGATCCAGCAAATACAGAGTGCAGAGGTACTGGTGGTGCTTCAAGTTGAGGCAATTTTACTTTCCCGGAAGCGCAACACAATCCTTTTGGTACGTTGTTGAATTTGAGAGCCTGACAGTGTGTGCAGACCTGATGCATCCGGCCAATAACGACAGTGCGATTCGAGCTATAATCAACAGTTGGATTATATCGGAATGCAAGACGATTGTATTGCAGGTTTCAAATCGATTGCTGCAGAACGCGACTGCCTAACTCTCAATCGTGTTCGCTCAAGCCTAGCTGCTCGCGTTTTTGCTGTCTCCGCGTTGTGCATCCGCATTGCTCTCAGCCGCTCAGTCTCTCGAATGGAGGCCCGTTCTTCGTCAGTCCTATTCGAAATGTTACGTCTTTTTGCTTTTGTATTGCGAGTAAGACGACCAAAATTCGACTTCTTGGGTGGCATGACTTCGTTTTTAATGACTTCGTTTCTGACATTTTGACATTTTCTTCTTAGCTGTCTGCCTAAATAGAAAAGTAGGAGCACGGGGAAACGCGAAAAAACTGATATATTCGCAAACGCAGATAAGCTATCAACATCAAAAGTAGACATAAACCGAGCTGGAACCTCAACGCATGTTGTGTAAAAATTTGGGCTTAAACGGTTCAGAACTTTTCAAGTCTATAAATGACGTTGATACTAACAGAGCATTTTTATATATATAGATTTGACCATCTGCTATTTCACTTACGAATTGAAGCAGACTCAAAGAACCCAAGGAAGCATTGAAGCACTTCATTTGTAACCCAAGATGGGATGTTTCTTTCGGAATATATTGATTCTACCGAAAGTATTCTCGAGGCATATTCTCTCACATATTTAAGCCAGTTTAAAAAAAACTCGTTTCAATCAATGTTGTAGTCTATTGTTGTTATTATTATAAGTGATTACGTTGAAGAAGGTCTATCCAAGCTGAAACGTGAGTTGGCGAACATGCTCGCCTGTGGATGGGCTAAATGGAAATTTAGCGCAATGGGCCGCAGGTCTTTTTCCGATAATCGATCCCATTCTCGGAGCAATGATTGCTTCAGCGCCTCCAAACTTATGTGGCGTTAAGCACATGCCCTGGACTCCAAAATAGACGACACACTGTAGTGCATCGGATTAAGATCTGGCGAGTAAGGTGGCCATTCACTGGATGTGATAAAGTGCGGAAAATTGGCTTTGCACCAGTTCTGAGTCAATTTGGCTCTATGGGCTGGCGCTGAATCCTGTTGAAACGTTAACTCCGCATCACCGAAGTGCTGGTGGGCCCAAGGAAGCACAAAAGTTTCCAAAATGTCCCGGCGGTACACTTCCTGATTGATTTTGACCGATGAAAACGATCGATTAAAACAAGGGGTGTTTTACCGGTGGCGCATATTCCTCCCCAAACCATTAAAGACTGCTCACATTGACGGCGCTCGATTATTGCAAAGGTAACTGTAGCTTCAACCGACCAGCTTCTGTCATTTTGGTGATTGTTCGCCTGTTGAATGGTGAATATCTTCTCGTCCGTGAAGAGAATACGCTCCCATTTTTTACCTGCGGCCCGACGCTTTAGCTGACGGCATCTTTGGAGTCTCACGCGCTTATTGTCATCCGTAAGAAGATGCACTTTTTGCAGCTTGAAGGGGTTGAGATTAAGTTCATTTTTTTCAATCAACCAAACACTTTCTCGATTCACTCCGATTTCACGGGCTATTTTTCTGACGAGACTCTGCAATTCCGAGTGATCCGCTTTTTCACGACCTGGCGAATTCTAAAAGTGTTAGCGGTGCAAGGTCTGCCTCGTCTGGGACTCATTAAATCGCCGGATAGCGTCAGAGAACATTTGTTTTGGTATGCCAAGCAAACGAACAATGTCGCATTGGCAATTTCCTTGTTGAAACGTTTTTAAAATTGCACAACGATTGTTAGACATCCCGAAACAAATATCAAGTTGATGGGAGTCACAAAAATGTAAATATATTTGTTTCAGAAAAGTACAAGCTATTGATAAATGCATTTATTTAAGGGCTGCATCATAACACATTTATAATAGATTGCTTCAAAGTTTGTCCGGGTTATTTATTGTCACCCTGTATATACTATGAATAATATCCTATGAATGCAAACGATCAGAAATGACCAAAATTTTTTCAGATAGAAGGTGGGGTTTTCCGATAGGTTTTATTTTTGGCCGACTGACTCAATATACCCAATTTTTTCATGATCGGTCAACTATGTTCGGTATTTGAGATATTTATCCGATATAAACTACAGGGGTACTACAGGGGCGTCAGCCGAAGAAGATCGGGGCCTCCCGAAAATAGCTTCGCTTTCTGGTTTTTATACCCTTGCCCTAAAAAATACCCAATACCCTAAAAAAATAGAGTATTCTAATTTTGGTCAAAAGTGTTCAACGCAATGAAGGAAACATCTCCGACCCTGTAAAGTATGTATTATTTTGATCAAGATCACCTCCTGAGTTGATATGAGCATGTCCGTCTCTTTGATTGTACGCAAACTTGTCTCTCAGTTCTAAAGCTAACGACTTGAAACTTTGCACTCAAACCCTTCTCCTTTGTATTTTATAAGTCGAAAAGACCGGGATGGGCCGACTATATCCTATAGCTGCCATATAACTGAACATATAACGGAAATGACGCAACTTTCGTGTTTTTGAATTTGGTCAGTTGATCCGACCTATCAAATTTCAAAGGGGTTCGTCCGACTTTATTTTATAGCTGCCAACTGAACGATCGGAAATGGTACTTAGTAAAAATACCTACTTTTGTTTTTTTGCAGATAAAAGTTTGGGACTTTTTTTTACATTTTGTATTGTAAAAAATCTGTAATATAATGATATTCTCATTATTATCGGTCCGAAGCTTCGCCCTAAGTTAGCTTTCCTTTTTTGTTTTGAATAAAAAAAAGTAAAACACTGGCAGCCTTGGATCAGTATTTTGGACCCTGTTCCCGTTGGCTATCGAAAACAAGAGTTTACCAGACTCTTACCAGACTTTCCATTGATATCCTTAGCCTTGAGGTTCCTGGCTTTAATCAATGTAAGAGTCAAAATAGAATTAGAAGGATGATAACAAAGTGATGAAAGAAGCTCTCCGCATTTATCTTTTGCAGGGGGCTTTAGGGCTTTCCAAAATGACTGTTTGCCAGCAAAATCGACCTAAAAAATATTTTAAGTATAGTTTTAACAATTAGAAAATTTTTTCAAAACCAATCACCTGGCATAGAGGTAAAAACACTTCTCCTATGGAGTCATCTCTTGAGAATCGATCGTAGTCAAAAACATGCAGATGCAAAACCTGCGAAGAATAAACAAAAAAATATGTTCAAATCGTTGGTTGCAATTTTTTAGATTCCTAAAGGTGTCGCTGGTCGAAATAATTTTCAAAATTAAAGTAAACTTCCGTACACAATGTTTCTAAAATTGAGACAGAATGGTTTCCAACATGTTTCTGAAAGCTTGATATTTGTTACAACTTGGAATGAAATCTTTTACAAATGGTACCAAAACAAAAAAGGAAATCGAACTTATTGCTATACCTACATACCGTTGCAGATAAGTGGCCGTTTTTATTATAAGATAAGTAACTTTGGATCGGATCGAATAGGATATCGGATAAAGTTGGAAGATCCATACAAAGATCCAAAAAAGTTGAGGTAAAGGATAAAGTTGGGAGATCCAAAACAAGAAAGGATGGCTGAAAGGATGTGAAGTTTCCCGACTATATTATACGCGGTACTCATCTTTTCCACTTACTTTAGTTAGCCTCTATTACTTTGAAGCAGTGTTCGGCACTCAATACATTGAAATGAATTCGATGCATAAGTATTAGTAACAAATAGCAAAAAGTTGTGATTCTAAGCCAAACATTTTTGTTGCACACTTTTGCACTTGGAGAACAAACCACCTCTTTTTTTTAACGTTTATATTTATAATAAATAATTATTAATAAATATTTATATTTATTATTTAATAAATATATTACAGCTTAACCAGGTTGTAAATTAGGACTAACAGTTTATGGTAAACTTCCTACGAGAATTGCTATAAGCCTATGCTATATTATATTTGCTATTATTTGAATTTTTATAAAATGTTACACATAGCAAAGCGGGAAATTATGCGAGTGAAATCCTTCTTATCTTTGGTCGCCATTTTTGCTAAGGTGTTGGGGTGACATCCAAGGCGTATTTTGTACTTTTCGGCATATGTACAGCAAACATCCTACAAACCTACCCTAGGGATCTTCAGGACCCCTCGATCTAAAGCAGTGGTGAACAAGCTCTCCATTTCAATAACGCGTGTGGATAGGGCCCGAAACTCTGCCGCAGCGCTGCCGGCACACAGACAGTGTGAGCACACTCTATTTTTTTCTAAGCCCTCTCACTTGCTCCCATTTTGCTTCATTTGACAGCCTAAACTTAAAAAAAAGTTTTTCAAGTTTTCACTGAGATCAATATTCTGAGAAAATTGGTTAAAACAGCGTAATTTTTAATTTGTTCAAGAACGTTTGTTATATAAGCTTTTTATAGCCTTGCAGAGGGTATTATAATTTTATCCAAAGGTGTGCAACACAGTGAAGGACACATCTCCGACCCTATAAGGTAAATATATTCTTGATCAGGATCACCTCCTGAGTTTATATGAGCATGTCCGTCTGTCCGTCTGTCTGTTTCTACGCTAACTAGCCTCTCAGTTTCAAAGCTATCGACTTGAAACGTTGCACACACCTTCTTTCCTTTGCACGCAGTATATAAGTCGGAACGATCGGGATCGGCCGACTATATCCTATAGCTGCCATATAACTGAACGATCGGAAATGACCCAACTTTCGTGTTTTCGAAGATAGAACGAACTTGGTACAGATTATATTTTCGGTCAGACAATCTGACCTACAAAATTTCATTAGGATCGGCCACTTGTATCCTACAGCTGCCATATAACTGAACGATCGGAAATGGTTTTTGGTAAAAATACCAACTTTGATATTTTTGAAGAAAGAAGTTTGGGCCTTTTTTAGATTTTGTATTATAAAAAATGGGTTAAGTTATCATATTCTCATAAGGATCGGTCAACTATATCCGATGTTTGCGATAAATATCTGGTTTTAACAGCAAGGGTATATTAACTTCGGCTCCGCCCGAAGTTAGCTTTCCTTTCTTGTTTTTAGATGTTTTATTGTAATTAATTGGTTTTATTATGATATTCTCATAAGGATCGGCCGATAACTATATCCGATGTTTGCGATATATATCCGGTTTTAACTGCAAGGGTATATCAACTTCGGCTCCGCCCGAAGTTAGCTTTCCTTTCTTGTTTTAATATAAAATGCACTATTTTAGGGCCCATTCAAACTTTTGAATTAACAAGAATGAAATTAAACTCTACGCTTTGCTCTGCGCTCATTGTATTGTGCTGCTTAAGCGCACACTCAAATCTTAAACATGTGTGCGTTTTGCCCACCACTGAGCTAAGGCCAGGACATTTTCGGCGACTTCAAAAGAACCGTCCGCTTAAGCATAAATCTGTGCTTTTAAAGCCTAGCATGCAAATTCCAGGGCTGATATTGGGCGCTGTTTGTGTCACACATGTGGCATTTGCTGCAGTTTGTTCCGATGTTCCAATCAGTGTTCCATTTTTAAAAACAGACTTAAGTTGGCAGCAAAAAGGATGTAGAAGGATGTCGTCAACTTGCGTACATCCCCAGGACTCAGGCATATCAGAAGTGTACAGAGTGTACAAAATTGGACCTAGTACACTGACATCTGGTACTCAAGATGAAATAGTTCGTTTAGAGTACTTTGCGCCATCGATACCTCCGAAACAAAGCTTTTGATTAAAAAGAAGAGCTGTGGCGTCAGAATCGTGTTCCGCTTGCATAACAAACCGTCGTCTCATATCCAAAAAGACAACTTCTGCATGCAATTTGCTCTCCATAGCTTTTAGAGCGAAGTTAATCACACGGTGTAGCTGTTCGGATGTACCGTGACCCATTCGGAAGCCAAACTGCCACTTTTAAATTGCTTTGAACACACTTTTCACTTTAAGAATCCGATCCAGTATAATGCGTTCCATCATTTTACCAGGTGCTGGTCGAAGACTAATTGGCCTGTATGGATCCACGTCTGTGGGCGGCTTCCCAGGTTTGGGGATCATTGTGATGAAAACATGTTTTTCAAGACTCGAGAAAAATCGAGGGTTTCAAATATCGATGTTCGATGTTTCCTTTTTGTCTATTACTACTTGAAAGGTAAACATATTTTCATTTTTTTAGTCTGATTTTGACTAATATTGGTTTGGCGGCGCTCAGAAATGGAGAATTTTGTAAAAAAGCAGATCAAAATGTTACCTATTAGGAGGAAGAAGCAAAAGCTAACAAGCAACAGTCCCAAATAAGAGGACAAAATATAGGCAATCTTCTCTGTGAAAATATTTTAATAAATCGGCGGATGGCTAGACAGCCAAATGTATGAAATATGGAAAAACATACCAACTTGTCTAGCCACTTGAAGAGGACACATCCTAGTTTGACAGTTATTAAATTCCGATCTGGGACCGAACTCGGCGAAGGTTACTGGGTTTGTCGGAACCGCCATTTGGAAAAGTCTATCCGAACCATTTGAACATGAATCTGATTTCCCATAAGAGTTAGGTTGAAAGGCTTAAGCCTGTTTTCTAGGCTGTCCACAAAGTTGTCAACCTCCTGCTGACTTCAACCACTAACCATACAGCATATAGACAATCCATTTCATACAAAGAAAATGGACGCAAAAATTTCTTGCGACATGCCCCAGCAGGCCCCAGCAGGTCCCAGAGCGAATCCTACTCTCTTACTTACGCTCATCGTTCGTTCATCTTACGCTCATATTCCTATTAAATGCATTCTGTTTCTCAGTCTCTGACAGGAGCGCGATGAAGAAGGTTGTTCTGCGCTTAGATTGACCTTTGTATGTATGCGTGTCACACATTCACATATACGGGTGTATGTGTGCGTGCGATTTCGTTTCAAAGCCAGCGCACACAATTATTGAATTTTCTAACTGTTCCGGCAACCCTAAAAAAAATTCGGGTATTCGTTATTTCGTGAAATGACCAAAGAAATAATATTATTTGTTTTATTATATTTTTTAATATTTCAGCATACATTTTACATTTATTTAGAAATAATATTAAGTGTTAGCAGTGTAAAATGTACATACATACAAAGAACAATCCAAGCGCAGAACAACCTTCTTCATCGCGCAGAACAACCTTCAATACATCCCCCAGCTGGATTTCGTATTGGTGCCTGCGTGATAACTTTCCTTTTGTAACAATTCGGTAACTTCACATACTGTAGTTGGACGAGGCATCAGCACCTACGTCTTCCAGCGTCTGATCAAACTGGCCTTGTTTGTTCTTCTCCAGAAGATTGAGAGTTTTTTGTAAGTTCTGTGGACGCGTTCTTCTGTTCTTGTGTATTCGCTACGAGTTCTTCTTCTGAGTTAAATGAGAATTTTATTTTGCGTCGATGCAGGAAATCTCGCAGCCATGTGTATTTTCTGCATTAGGAGTTCTACAGCATCGTCGATATCGTTAGATTGGTTAATCTTGTTAGTTTGGTGGTTACTTGGATACTTGGCAAGAGCTAGCAATGGTCTCTAGACGCTACACCATTGGTGGTTAGCAATAATTTTGGGGCCAAGTGAAATCAATAATGAGTCAAAGTCGTTTTTAGACCATGTTTCGCTGGAAGGAAAGATACATAACCACAATTCTAACAACCCTATCGATAGTTCTTCAATTGAGACTAGTTATTTAAATATCGGGACGCGTAGTGGGCTCGTTCTGAGAGTGGTGAATACTCTTGATAAAGATTGCAGAGCCACCCTAGCAGTCATACTAGGGTGGTTGGCATAATATTGGGAACAACCAGGAGCTAAAATCTTAGGACATGACTCATATGAGTCTCTGAATATTATAATAAGATATGAGTGATGAGAAATGTAATGCGTAATTAATTTTTCCCAAAATAGTTTATTTGAGTGGACTGTATACAAGCTGCGTGTTCACTGCTAAAGCAGATTCACTGCTAAAGAATAATTGTCTTATTTACTAAATGCGACGCAGCGCCATAATGCGTATATAGAAATTCTAGAAAAATTAACTAATACATACGAAATGAAGACGCGTCCATCTGCGTTGCCATGGTAACTTGGTATACATAATATGTATATATGTATTACATATATTAAGTAGAAACATTCACATTAAATATGAGCAACATCGCCAGAATCGATTCTGTTTCTCAACAAAGAG